TATATATATATATATATATATATATATATATATATATATATATATATATTCCTCCTCCTCCGGGAATTATTTTACAGCCTCTTTTGTACTTTTGCTTAGAAAAAGAAATTTCCGAATAAACTATGAAGGTGTCTTTCTGCCCTCATAAGGTTAAAGTTTTACAAACCACGATATTTTTTTTATGTAGAATTATAATTTACTCGTATAACCATATAGATTTAATTAGAAACTCTTTCCCTAGTTATTATATTTCCTGTTAAAATGTATACTCAATTATAACATTTTGGAATGGCAGAAATAAAAGAATTTCGATCACGTTTTGTTCCTTCCAAGATAAGCTCTATTATTTGCGCTGGCTGAAATGTCCTTTTCCTACATTGTCTGTACTGATGTCGTTGTTTCATTTATTATCATGGCTTTGTGGCCCACTTACGAGAATGGTGTCTCTTCTCCGCCAGTCAGTTCCAGCCGAGTTAATCGACGACTGTGTTAGTTCTACGTCCGGACCCCGGCAGACAGGATATGCCCTCACATCCGAATAGCTTTCATCGTGAAATAAAGCACTTTCTACGCTTTGAGAGGGTTCTGGAGATAACCTTTGAGCATGCCTCGTGAAGATCATAATAGTCTCTGTAATATCCTCGTAAAGTATGACATACATTAAACTTTAGTATGTGAGCTATGAGCTTTTATCTTTTACTGGTACAAGATATTAAAAGTGGAAATACGTGCAAAAGAAATATTAATAATAGCACACAGCCAAAAGCAATAATAGCTAAGTTTGCGCAATTATTTTTTATCCCTATAAAACCTGAATTATTTATTATTGATAAATTATTTTACTTCACATTTAGTTATTGTACGTAAACATGTAGAAAATGAAATAGTGTATTTGATAGATTGTATTCATTCACAAGTTATACCTCGGTAAATGAATAGGTAGGCTATTACACCACAAATTTGATAAAACTTTAAAACAAATGTTGTAATGTAACAGTAATAAGTTAAACAAACACATTTCCGCCCTCGCCGTCACATCTACTCGCACCTCCGATCTCTCCTTCGTCTTTGCCCTTCTCTTGTTCTCGCACCCATTTCTGTCAGCACCTCCGCCCTCTTCTCCACTCTCAGTTCCTACTCCTCCTTGCCTCCGCTCTTGCCTCCTCCATCCTTTCCCTCACTCTCATCTCAGCCCACGCGGAGGTCACGGTTCTTGGTGGGGGAATGTACGGCCACCCGTATCCATAATTTCCTGGAGGCACTCAGGTTGTTAACATCAAGATGGAGGAAGTGAGTAGGTGACTTGCCACCGAACATTGGGCGGTATTGTGTGTGTGGTTCTGTTGGCACAATGACCGCCAAATTGCTTCAAATTTGGTGCCTTGTTTTTAATAGGGCATTTTTTATGCTCGTTGAAGGCGTTTCAAAGGAAAGGATTATACATTTCAAACATGGCGCTTCGGAGATAGTCTTAATTTTTCTTTAAAAAAACCGCACGAATTTCTTCTCTGTTGACAAAATACTCATTTCTTTCGTACAAAGTTCCTTGACGTAGATTGTCAGCTGCTTCCTGTTAGTTCGGAGCGACACCGAAAGATCGCATCAGCTCCTGAGCAGCTCCTCGTTCGAACCATGTGCAGCATTGTCAAAAATTCTGAAAATACCTTGCTTTTCCATGTATTGAAAATGGAACCCGTGCTATTCTTTTCAGCATCCTTTTTCTATCCATGAAAAATATTTGGAGCGGTTTTTTGTATTTTTTTTTAAATGCATGCATTTCAAGCACAGACTTTACGCAAAAACTACCTTTTTTCAAAACATTACAACAAAACATTGTTCTCTCGAACAATGTAAAACCGCTTCAATTAGAGGTATTAAAAATAATTCATTTTTCTGGCCGTTAATGCGAAGATTTTGCTTCCATTTAACATCCTGATTAAATCTTCCCCTAACTGCATTGTTATGATTCGAAAGCTTTGAAATACAAAATGCTTACCATATCATATACATTACATTATTAGAAACACCTTTGTGTTCCTTGTTTTTCATTCAGGTTACGAAGTTACAACATCTTTGTACATTACGAACTTCAACTTAACTGGGCCCTAAGTTTCACAAGAATAAAAACACATGTGAACCGTTTGAGATACAACTGCATTGCTTTACCTGGGGGGTAGGAAGCATTTTCATGCTGCTCATGAGATATTTAGAAACCAATAGCTAGACTTTTGTAGACAAATTATGTCAATAGTATGCTTATTACTAGCCAGTTTGTTTCTAATAAGGTTCAGCAAATTGAACATCAATGTGTTTTGGTTGTCGTGACATTCGTGTTGAATGTGGTGAGGTCTGTTTTTCCAAGATTCAACTTCGGAGATTCGCAAACAGAGAAGTGTAGCCTATGTTAAGGTAAGCATTTAAATACACTCCAACAGTATGTAAGCAGAAAGTAATGTATATCAAACTCTGATATGAAAAATAACTTAAAGATATGATCTTTTGAGTTTCTTTCATTCTCATCCTAATTGTTTTATACAAAGGTCTGTGCAACTACGTTTCATCTATGACACCCTGTTTTCATTCACAATACATTATTTTAGTATAGAAACTCAAGTTTAACTATTCTGTTTTGTCATTAAATAGTGATTTTTCATAGACTCACATATCACATTAATTTTAATTTCATACCATCAACTCAACAAGACTCGGATTGGAAATTAGTTTTCCCTCAACAATTCTGGAATACTTAACTTCCATTCAGTTGACGTGAAATCAGTGGAAACTTAGCTACAGCCTTTTCGTTGGGGACCTTATTTTAATAGTTTTCTTAAACTTAATAATAGATTGAAAGAAACAAAACATTGTTATTAATGAAATGTAATTATTACTACAATTGATTGCACATTGAGGTTAGTGTAATAGTTCATATTGAAGGGCTTGTTTGAATGTAAACTCTGCTCAAGCAAGGAAATAATCAGTACTTTCCCAACCCACACTTTGCCTTCCATAACACAAAAAAAATTAAAATAAAATAGGCCTTCAATAAAACAGTTTTATTTGTACGTTCTCCAATGCTTTACTCACCTGTAATGTCATACTCTTCACTGACTTCAGAAAGCAATTCGATAGTAGACAAAATGAAATTTTGAAATCTTAAAGGAAAAAAACAACTTACAAGAAGAAAGGTTTAAACAGAACTAGTAGTTTCAGATGTTGAAATATTGCGCATCATTCTCTTTAATTCGTAAGTTTTTTAATTTCTTCATAAATAGTTAAAACTATCAAACTATCACCGTCTCCTTGATAGAATTCACTTTTTGATTCTTTTTCCCCCAAGTAAAATAGCTAAAGCTCTTGAAAATGCCTAAAACTTTTCAGTCACGGAATTCGCGTACTCTTTATGATGTGTTTCAGTTTATTTGCAGAATTTAGTATGGTCGTATGGTTAGTCTAATGAAAAGCTTTGACATATTGTATTTATTTAAGGTGTTGCTCACATACTTTCGGAGTGTATTAAAATGCAATGTCACTCGTGGCTTAAAGCATGTATAGGTCACCATAATGAAGTATTTCGATGTTTCTCTAGTTTCAGCGAATGTCAATACTGCCGACAGTGCTACCGCGAGTCGGGAATATGCTGTATATTGTCGCACACAAGTTGCACAGAGTGTACACGTATTAGATAGAGTTTGAGGATTTGAAGCCAAAATAAAACTCACACTTCTTATCTACTCACAATAGGTTATAGAGACCACCTTGAAGTTAAACTAGAAATAATTTTAGGAGCTCTGAAATTAGTGCAGGTCATTACCAAAACTATTAGAATTCAAGAAACATTGTTCACGATATGATGAGCGTTTTTCCAAGCATTTCACATTCATGTAATTCCTATTGTGACATTATTCTCGTTAACGAAAATGAGCTGCAAATATGTTACTGCATAATTTACTGAATGAACTGCATAATTTACTTGTATGTAATTATCGAAACACAGGTGATCTACATTACGGACAGTGTATTTTAAAAAATGTTTCAAGAAAAGTGATTATAACAAAATAAGCCACTATTCCAAACTACTCCGCTTATACATAGCTTAACTTCACAATTTCATAATTCATCAATCCAGAAATAGCTAAATATTGTATCTTGAGTGAGCATGAATATTTTGGAGATTTGAATAAATGAGGATTTTTCAAACGTTTTAGGTTGTATCTCCCTTTTGCAAAAAATATTAAAACCGCTGAGTTATTACTTAGCTTAATTACTAACCCCACAGTAATTACTTTGTTCTATCTAAAACTAACACCAAGTAAAAAGCAAATCATTTGCAAAATTGAAGGTTATTTTTATGAAATATTGGATGGTGTCTTTCGTCTCATCGATGGCTTCGTAAAAAATATCTTAAGTACGGAATGATCTTAATTCTATTTCATCTGCAGAAGTATTGGAAATTGAAATAAAAAATACACGAGAAGAAAGAACCAACAAGTTTTACACAAACATTATTTATTAAAATAAGTTTCATTCGCTTACATTTTTCACAAAACAATTCACAAATCAATGAATTAAGTAGATACACTCATATAGAAACATGTATTCTTTAAAATACGTCCCCTGGTGAATTGTTCAAATGCATGACTTAACATTGTCATTGAAATTAGGTAGTGTGAATCTGATTGTACGTTTATCGAGCGTTAAAGCTTTTATATGTTCCCCGTGTCGTCCTGGCCCCCGCTGCGCTAGGCGGGCGTGTCGGGGAAGAGCTCGTCGTAGGGCACCGCAGACACGAAGCCCTTGAGCAGCTGCGTCACGACCTCCCCGATGGCGCTCACCACCGGCGGCCCGATGTCCTCGATCACCTGGCGCCAGTTTTCGTTCACCACCCGCCGCACGTTGGCCCCTGCGTCACCACAAGCACTGGCGCTCAGTTGCTTCCACCGAGGAGTCGGTAGCAGGGGTGCACAGTAAATCAATTAAGGAACGGGTCATTCAATATGACATTCAATCGATCAGATAGTGATTGATGCAGTCGATCTGTGAGTTACCGCGTGACCTAATGAGCAGGTGTACTAGGCCAGTGGCAGTCAGTCATTGAGTGGGATAAGCAGTAAATCAGATGTACACGTAAGCTTCCGCGGCTCGAATCCATATATTTTCGGCTATCCGGGAGACGCCACGTCGTTGGCTGGGGTGCCGACGTTTCACCTGACATGTCGCAGGCTTCCTCAGGGCAGGGACCAAACTGCCCTCACTGCCCTGAGGAAGCCTGCGACATGTCAGGCGAAACGTCGGCACCCCAGCCAACGACGCGGCGTCTCTCGGATAGCCGAGAATTTAAGCAGTAAATCACGGCGCGTCAATCAGTGAATAGATCAGCTAGTGAGTGGAACCGTCAATGTGTAGGAAAATTAACTAGTAAATGGGGCAGTCAGTTAGCGAGGGGGTAGTTAATAAGCGAGTAGGACAGTCAACCAGTGAGAGAGCCAATCCTTACAAGGGAGCGGAAGAAATAATCAGTGAAACAGTTAACCAGTGAACGAGTCAATCAGCCAGTGTGTCAGTCAATCATTGAGAGGGCTATCTAGTAAGTCAGTCACTCAATCAGTAAACGCATCATCTAGTGAATGGGATAGTCAATGAATATGTGGTAAGTCATTAATGGATGGGGCAGTGAATTAGTGCGTTAGGTAGACAAACTGGGGGGGGGGGGCAGTCTATCATTGAGTCAGTCAATCAGTGATTCAGGCAATTAATGAGTGGATCAGTCAGTCAATTACTGAGTGTCAGTCAGTGAGTCACTAAGTAAGTAGATGTTCCAGTCACTGAGTAAAAGAATTAGTTATTAATTCATTTACTCAAATTAAACAGCACAAGGCTCTAGGTTTAATGAGAGTAAACGCTATTCGTCACAAAAATTCCTCGTTGAATAAGATATTTTTATGACAATAAGAAACAAATATTTACACCACAAGAACAGGTATTGAATCTTTGATGTAGGAATGAAATGTTTGCGGATGAGCCGAAGAGACCACAGTTTTGGTATGAATTTATGGAAATTTATAATTACCTCTATACTTTTGGATTTCTTCCCAATATTCGAAACGATAGGGAAGTTTATTAGTCATCCCACAGTTTTCTTTGTATGTTTTTTTTTATCTGACCAGTACGACTTTGAGTGTGGGCATCGCTAACTGATTCTTTCCGAGTAATCCTTAAGCAGTATTTGAGAAAACTCGGGAGTGTGCGGATGTTCGATTGTGAGGAAGTGCAGTTCCGTCACTCGCGGCTAGACCACCTTTCGTACGTCAATCGAGACGTATGAGGTGTCATTCGACCCGTCTTTCACCTGGCGGAAAACTAATTTGTTTTCGGATCCGGCCAAAATATTCAAAAAAAATCCAAAAACGTTTTTTTCGTGTTTTGGCGCGGCGATCTTAGTGATAATGCCAGGCATTAAACTATCTATGTAGGTGGGGTACAACAGTACCCAAACGTTTTTTTCCCCACAATACGCCATAATTTTCTTTCACGACGTTGCCAACATTGATGCTGACATCTTTATGTGAACAATTATCAATAGCGCTGCAGATTGATTTCAATTTAGAATCGAATTATTACCGTTGTATTTAAAATAAATTTGTGAAAACCTACGAACAGTATTGCATCGAAACTTATTAAACTTGAAGAATTCCAAGTAAATTCGGAGCAAAAAAAAACTGTAATGCCAGAGAATTAATTAACGTTATGTTCGACTTCTCACTTTTACGTTCTTACAAATGTGTACAAATACTGATTATCAAATGAATGTAACCCACAACTTTAACACCTTCTAATGTTATATTCTCATGCAATGCTAGATTCGCATACAAAACTATTAATAGAGCAATTGCAGATGTGGAAGTGAACACAAATTAGACTGAGTTTTTGAAGTTATAATCTCTTCAAAACTTAGGGAAATAAAATATGGAAATATGAAGGAAATCCGGGGAAGAATCAAATATAGTTGTAAATGATGTCGCGACAAAATTTTCGGAACTAATTGGGAATGACCTGAATATTTGTATTTAGCATTTATGCTAATACAAATGTACTAGGTGCATTAGCAAAACAGCGAAAAAATGTATCTGTACTAAAATTTCACTATTAGCATCGTCAAAACCTACAATTAAGTGTTACCGCGAGTATAAGTTTGAAATCGCAATAAGACCTGTTCATATCCTATATGGAGGTACCATACAATTCTATTGGGTGTTGGGAACTTTGGAGCGGGAGTATGTTGGGGAGGGATGGAGTTCTTGTTGGGAACGTGTAAGGTCTCGTTGGAAGAAGTGGGATCATGTTGGAAAAGAGTAGTTATATTGGGATGGTGTGGGGTCGTATTAGGAAAGCATAGGGTGTATTCGGAAGTAGGCGGTATGTGGGGCCGTTAGAAGTCGGAGCGGGTCCTATGGGGTCGTGGTGGTGCCTTATTGGGGTCGGTGTGGGTTCTATATGATGAGGGGGGGGGGTCATGGCTGCTGGGACTTACGCAGTCGCTCGTCGCCGTCGAAGAGGTTCTCGAAGGTGAAGTGCGCTTGCGACGCGTCGAATTCGATGTTCTTGTCCACCACCTTCAGGTACTCCTTGCCCTTCCGCGTCTCCATGGCGAAGCGCAGCGTGTAGTTGAGCGGCACATTGTCTGCAGCAGACCGCATACAATCAATCAGACTCTTTCAGTGAAGCCACAGGACCAACGCCAATGGGAATGGGGAAGGGGCAGTGATGCAATTTATATTACTATTTAGATGCCATGAAATTAAAGACTCGGCCTCTGACGGCAGGTTTTTCCCCCTTCAGGGGTTTTTTCCTGAGCCGCGCCTTATGGTCTCTTTTCCGCGGCTTTGATGCGATGGAGAGGCCATTTGGGGTGAATACCAGAATTCGAAAGATTAGAACGCGAAAGGATGTAGGTATTGTAATGGCTTAAAGGCCTTCGGCCAAGCCACATAGGATCAAGTAAGCTAATTTGTTTGTAATAATTACCTTTTAAATAAATAATAAATAAAATTAAAGACAGTTATTTTTATTAAAAACATTTATTAAATCATTGAAGGCTTTCAGGGCCGGAGTCAATTTTCTTCATGTCTTCCGGGCTGATGGGCCATGGTCCAATTGGCTTTGAACAGCCAAACGTTTCCCCCACAATTGTGGTGGGCATCCTCAGTGGCGAGGTCTCGGGCGAAGTGTCCGGGACGGTGGCTGACTGGCGACTGACGCCGCGTTGGTCTCGGCCGCTCCACTAAGGATGCCCACGGCAGTCGTGGGCGAAACGTTTGGCAGTTCAAAGCCAATTGGACCACGGCCCATCAGCCCGGAAGACATGAAGAATATTTATTAAACCATTATCCCACATCAGTATTTAGCTGCTTTGAACAACGTTTCGACAAATATTTTTTGTCCTTTACAAGGACTAGAGCAAATATTATAATTCACGAGTCATGAGTGGTGAGGGTCAAATTTACAAAGTTTTTGAGCGCAATCTGACGGAAATCTGCTATTTTGTTAAAAACGTGTCGGTGGACGAGGTTTTTAATGTACACATTATCATGAAAAGGAATAATATGTTTGGTGGTACTTCGTATTATAAGTATTATGTGTACAATGATTCTACACTATGTTATTTTTGTAATGCAATTTTGAACAATGAAACAACTGGATGGATATATTCCCTATTTTCGCCTCTCCCACCTTCCGGTATATACAGATGCCTCAGAACAAATGACAAACTCCTAGGGAGTAGAGGGGTCCAAAATTATCGCTTTTTGAAAATGAAAATGTGGAGAGAAATTTCATGTAATGAAACATGTGACATATGACTCTGATTGTCAAACAGCTCATCATGCACTGTTGTTCGACAGATAAATGAAAACCCTTTGTCTGGGCAGACCTGCCAAACACCAGAGTATAATAGTTGTCTACCAATCAGCGGCAAATATTACATGAGTAACTTCGTTTTATGAAAGTCACCACCACCTGTACATTGCCAAATAGTGATTATGTTTTACTCCCCCCTCCATGCCGTAGGAGTTTGTAATATTTATTATGGAACATTATATATAGACCTTCCCAACACGGCTGAGATGTAGCTCCAAAAACAAGCATATTGATATTTACCCTTTATCTGCCCCACCTTCACGCCATGTGACTCGTAAGCCATTGTCGGTGTACAAACATTCTTTTTTCCAGAACAGGGAGCCAAATTGCATTTAAAAGGCCAGCCTTTACCCCTATTACGTCACACACATAATACCCTCTCACACTAATTTACCAGGCCAGTGATGAGATTTAAGGGACAGATTTATTTAGATAGATGAGATTAAAGGTTCTGGCTCAGGAGTAATACGTTGTGTGCATGTAATGCACGTCAAGCTACCACACAACCGAAACGCTCTCGCCTTATAACTGATACAACTTTAAACAACGGGTGGCTTGCTTCACATACCTAAATGTATCCACATGGCATAACAAGTTAATGTGGCATTAAAATATGGATACTAAGGAAGTATTTACAAATTGTCTGTTACGTTTTTTATGTATAACATAATTCAACAGCTGAAATGTGATAACAAATCCTAAATATTCGTTGTTGTTTTTTTTGTTTAATGTTCTTGTATATACTGATTTCTGAACTTATTATTATTTAGTTCTCTAACATATTTTTCTGTCGGACTATAGTTTTAATGTATAACTGTAACATCATAAGTTTAAAGGCCAGCGGATCACATCAGAAGATGCAAAGGGGACTTTAGCGGGAAAAAACGTCTAGAAATCCGCCAGGATAAAAACGACACGCAAGATGCACCTTACCAACTTGTATACGCGCCATCTCTTCTGTCGTGTCTGGGTGACTCACCGAGGGTGATGTTGGCGTCGCCCTTGCCGTGGATGGGGATGATGAGAATGCGGCCCGAGATGTTGTACTTCCCCAGCAGCTGCAGCCGCGGCACGAACAAGTGCACGTCCAGAACGAGCTGCTTCGGGTCGAACCTGCGCCGACGCGGCAGTCGACATCGAACACAAAACATTTGAATAACACATCGACCAAAATTCGTCCATTTTTAAAGCTGGTTCAGTATTATCTCACAATAAATTCGTGCACAACAAAATTTAGAGATAGTGGTCGGTTTATTAATTACAATTAATAACTAAACTTATAAATATTAACACAAAGTTTATTATTATTATTATTATTATTATTATTATTATTATTATTATTATTATTATTGTTATTGTTATTAACTGAAAACAAAGTTAAAAACGCTTCCACATGAAAAATACGAGGAAATAAGATGAAGAAAATAAAGTTTATTAGGACACATCAGGCGAGAGATAGCCTTCTCAGTGAAGGTAGTGCAAGCCACATTCATGAGGTTCAAACTCATTGACAGTTATCATTTCATATTTTATATTTAAAAATTGTGATGTTGGGAGATTTTTCATCCACGAAAGTATTATAGAAAAGGGGCGTACTGGAGCAATTTTTAAGTCCTTCAGGTTTGAGATTTTGAAACGTCTCAATTATTTCATTAAAATCGTATTAAAATACCTAAGTTTACTCATATTTTATCCATTTTTATACAAAATATCCCCATTTTCACATGTTTTTGAGATGTGGAAATTTGGACAAAATGCTGAACCACATTTATTCCAAAATATACAAGACCACATATTTCAAAACACTTTATTATTACAAAATATAAATTTTAACAAATTCAACACTAGACCACGTTTTCTCAATTTGGAAATATTCTAACTTTAGTCAAAAATATTAAGCGTTTTGAGGTATTAAGATATCTTGACCACATTTTAATTCAACGTAAGAGATAAGAGTGTAACGGGGAATAAGGTGTAAGAGATAAGAGAACATGTGATTATTGCAATAGATATAAGGAATTAGAGTAGGATTTCTCTCCATTTATATTAAAAATTTTCTTGAATTATATTATGTTGGAAGTCATATGTTAAGCTCTTTTTACCATACATTATAACATATTCAATTGGGTTTATTAGGAATAGTATTATGAAATGTAGAACATACATAGATGTTTTTTGTGCAGCATTTACATTTTTTCTAATGAAAATATTATAAATATATAACAATAATCAAACTCACTTGAATATTTTTCTTGATTATCAAATCTGTTTGTTTGGAATACTACAAAAACAAAATATGGCATGGTCATATTGTAATAAATGATAATGTTTTTTAATATTGATTTCAAAATTATTTTTTCCAACAATTCCAGATAATTCAAATGTTTGTAAATCATGAAATGAAATTGTAAATATAGGATTTTTTATTACATTAGCTTTAAATTCCATAACATAAGAAGATTCATAATATGCAATTTGTACATTAAGTTTGAAATTTTGAATGACTATTGTTCCTCCTCATGGTAATGTTGCAGAATCTAATGTACCATGATCTTTTTTTTGATTTCCATTGGTATAAAACATCATTCATAGTAGGAGACCAAGTAAATGAAATCATAAAACCACCTTTCCAAGTAATTTCCTTAAAATCTTTAAAAAATTCTCCCAATAATCTCTATGGATACAAAATCACATCATCTATTGATTTTAATGCATAATTAGAACTAACACCAGCAACATCAAATGGAATTAATTCATTTGTTGAATAAGTACTTTTTTGTACCACAGGTGACGTAATTCCACGATTATCTAATAAGTATATTTGACCTCTTTTTTTTAACACTAATATCTGAAAGTAAATAAGATACAAAATTATCAATTAGTTTAACATATCATTGACCCTCAATTGCTGAATAATCAGATCCATTTTTATGCATAATATGATAATTGATTTATAATTCCGCTCTATCGAAATGCATCCATCCATCTCCTACATTCATATAAATATCCATCATTTTATTAGGTTGTCCAATGTTATTCTTATCACAATCCATAGCCAGAAACGATTGCCATTGATAACTCTAAATTTTTTTCCATTTACAAGGCAATAAAAATAGATTATTTTTTTAATTTTCAAATAACAGCTACCATAGCACCATTAGAATTTATTTTCTTATTATGTTCATTTGTAATTCAAACATTGTATATTATGACATAGGAGTACAAATAATGGATAAGATGATTAATAAGTAATAGGCATTCGATAATTGAGTTGAGGTTAAAATGATGTTAGAATATTTGTTTTTCTATGAATTTCCTCATTATCTTTTAGAATTATCCCTTCAGCGCAATTACAATGTATATAAATTGTTTCCAATGGAATTAATTTAATTCCTTTTTTTCAATTTGATTTCAAAAACCTAATAACAATCCAGTAGAATCTACAGCATCATAATTTAATTTAAATGCATTTTTATTTCAATTCTACTGAGAATATGATTAGGTTTAATAGTAATGTTTATTGAATTAAATATTGCATGTGATTGTATATAATTTTCTAAATTTCCAATATTATATTGTCCTGATGGAATTGTGAGAATATGTGTTTCTTTTTTATGAGTATAATATAATTTATTGCTATTTGAAGTTACATTAGATGTTAGAAATACAGAATAGAATCCTACACATGTAACTGTAGAATAATCATATATTGGTGTAGCAAGTTTTTTATGTAATACTAAAAATGCTCCAATTACCTTCAATATTTTACTCATTTAAATGAGACAAAAAAAGATTGTGATCCAAAAATACAATTACAAACTGAATGCTTAAAAATGAAACATGTAAAATTATTACCATCTTCTATACAATGTGCTATTATAGGACTAAGTAAATGTGGTAAACCATCTTTATTGATTGAAAATTATATTCTGAGTCCCGGAAGGTTAAATTGGGATAAAATTAATCATGTGTAGATATTTTAAAAATCTTTTGAACAATATAAATATCAAGCATTTATGAATAAATGTCATAATCTTGAAAATTACATTATTTCATTTTTAAGTCATCACAATATTACTTGATGATTGTGAAGAACATTAGTATTATTCAATGATTACATATTAGAGAATCAAGATATTGTAAGAGAATATTTTACATGTGGTAGCCATAAAAGTATTGATTGTTGGTATTTAGCACAAATATATTCAAAAATTCCTAATCAAAAGTTTAGAGATAATTTTTTTTTAAAAATATATTTAGACAAGACGATCATAATATTAATCTGATACACCATGAATTTTTAGGCGGTGATATGAAAATTGATGAATTTTAAAATTTATGTCAATTATGTTGGGATGGATTATTTGGTTTTATCACAATTGACATGACACAAAAATCAAATGATGTAGAAATGAATAGATGATGATATAGAAATAAAATACAATTGTTTTAAACCAGACAGATGCAATATAAAATCCTGTCTTTCTGATTAAACTTAAACATAATATTCCTGTTTAATAAACTCAGGGGATTCCATAAAATATTGTGGAACTCCATAATTGTAATACAATGGGAGGAGAAAGAAATGATCTTCCACAAACAGAATTTATTAACTAACTATTAGTCAGTTACTGCATTAAACAGGCAAACATGTCTCGTAGTGTTTTACCTCATCTTCAGTGTCTTCACAAGATATTAAAGAAAACTTGAAAACTTTATAATGTAAAACATAAAATTGTAAAACTAATAAAGAACACAAACACTATTTAAAAACTTACAAAATATTATTATTTACCCAAGTAACATTGTCATCATGATTTGTGGTGTTTTTTTTCACATGGTGACAAATTGTGCATTGCCCTCCGGTGGAAGCGGGGATGGGGGAGGGTAGTCTACTAGGATACTTTGCAAAGGGTCTGTGTTTCACATTAGTTTGGTCATTGAGTCCATTTTAGGATTTTTTATTTGTTTTGAAATTTCAAAATTTTTCTAAAGTGATCAATTTTGGACCATTGTTTTCTAAATGTAAAATCTTAAAATTTGTATTGTGATCAAAGATGTGATTGTTTAAAAGGAGAAAAGGGGAGTGTTATTCTTGTAATCTCCATGCATGAGAATGTTCATTGTCAATTAAAGTTTGAAGGAATATTTTTTTCAATTAAACATTTTTTTTTTCTTTCTGTTTGATAATTTTATCTTCGATCTGTGGATCATAGTCATTATGAACAACTATGGATTTAATTATGGTAATTTCATTTACATAGTCTAATTTTTCCATGGTAACTTTTAAAAGGCAATGGACCCAAGAGTGGAAAACAGCTAATTTAAGGTGATGAATGTGATTTGAACTATTTGGAATGATTAGGTCAGTCTGTTTCCTAAAAACTTTAAACTTGTGCTTATTGTTAGAAATTGTAATAGTAAAATCCAGATAGCTTAATGTATTATTCTGTTCAAGTTCTATTTTATATTTAATTTTTGAATGTATCATGTTTAAAAAATCTAAAAACTGATCTCAGTTGTCCGAGTTACCATACCATTTCAACATAGAAAAATAATGTCATTTACATATCTGAAATAATAGGCTATGCTCTTGAGTAAGGAATTAAGGGTTTAAATAGTCAATTTACAAAATTATCCACAAACATTTCAGCAAAAAGAGGGGAAAAGTTGGAACCCATTGCAAGTGTTTGGATAAGTTTATAAAAAATGTTGTTGAAATAAAAAAAGTTGTATTCAATGCACACATCAAGAAGGTTTATTAAATCTATTTTTTCCTGGAGTTGGGTTTTACAAATCATAATATGTCTAGTATAAATGTCTTTAACTTCATAAGGGGGAATATTTGTATACATGTTGGTGACATCAAATAATACGAGTTTTGCATTGGAAGGCACATGGATGTCTTTGATTTTATCAATTAACTAATAAGAATTAGATAATTTGGATTTTGAATTGAAGCTAGTCATATTCTTAAAAACAGGGAAGACAAATTTGCAAAGTGGGAAAATACTAGAGATGCTAAAACTAAACACAGGCCTAATGGAACGATTTTCTTTGGGTAACTAGATTAACACATATAACCTAGGGGGATTCATAACTATTAAGGATCT